AAATTACGGATTTAGTTGAATTTGAACACGTTGAAATGAGTTGAGTGGATGAAAATTTAAAACTTAGGAATAATTATGTGGGTTCACTTATGATTCGATGTTTAGCCAATTTCCAATCCAAGAAAGTTTTACCTATTTTCTTATAATTTGTTTAAGTATCTAATAAGTAACATTTTCCCTTATTTGTGACAATATATAATTCATCTAAACCTAAATGAATTGCTCATATCATAATTTTATGAGTTGATTTTGCGACCCAAATAGTGGCTAGGATCATGTGATGTAGTGGTTTAATTTATTTTCCCTGGTGTATGGTTTTAGACTTTTTAGACCCTCTAACAAAATTTTCAATCAAGATCAAGTGGCTTTTTGGTAAAACTAGTGAAAAAGGCTCCTTTAAAAATAATTCTTCATTTCATATTTTAAATCAATAAATTACTTTTCTCCATTCATTACCAAATGCTACTGAAAATTAGAACCAGGGAAGGTTTATTTGACACTTCTAGAGTTGTATTATTGTACATTATGTATATCATTTGTATAAAAGAAAAAATCTTGATCACATCTCAACCACTCCAATTATCTAATTGTAAATATTTCTTTCATATAATTTACTCCATTCTCACAATGAGAATTCGAAGGGCCGCTTAATTAGATATACAAAGTATATATACATATAAATATAACCTTGCCTTATCAAACGATTGAAAGGGAAGTGCAAATATCAAGATATATATTATTATAACTAATTAAAAAAATTATTTATAAAAAGAACTAATTATATTAAGCAATGTGAAGTAGGTAGCTAGCTGGTACAAACCACCGTACACACATACAATTAACATCAGAAAGAAAAATATTAAAGATACAAACTATATTAAATTGATTTTCAAAATTTGACTTTTATCTATTTTATTAAGGATAGGTAGTTGTATCAGAAAGTGAATTTTTTGCTTAAAAAAAGAGGGGGGAAATAAAATTTTGGATAGATGGAAGACTACAATATTTTTTTATTCCAAAGTCTAAGCCACGTGAGAGGATTTAACTACTCATTAACAGATGTATAGCTTCAAAAAATGTGAAATAAAATACACAACTTTGAAAATTGTAAAATTTAATAGTATCAACTTTCTTTATTTTAATCTATTAGTTTTCACTTATTTTCTTTAGTCTTAATCTTCTAATTGATTAATATGTGACTCGTAATAATGTTGAACATCATAAGAATAAGCTAAGCCAGAGTCACATATCCTTTCCAAGACAATGACATATATGATGAATTATTTGATTAGTAGTCTCTTAAAAATGCCAATTATTTTAACTCTTTTCAGGTTCATTAATAAAAACAAAACATATAAAGTAGTATTACGAAATTGTTCCTATTTATTAGTTTTTTTCTATAATTTAATACTATTAAGAAGAACTAATTCTTTAATATAAGAATCAATTACTAATTATTATGTTACATTTCTATGGCGATAATTATTTTGGGACAAAATTTATTTTTTATTAAAACAACACACTTGTATTGGGGTAAAGGGAGTACCAATACTTTAATATGTATTTTCCATCATACTGATGTGAGAAAAAAAAATAGTAACAACTTATAGTGTCTTCCGTATAGTTTTTGAATATCTAAATTTTTATTTCAAAATATCAAATTAATCTTGTATAATTTAATTTCAAAATTAATTAAATTGACCTCGAAAAGATGAAACATGACAACTATTTTGAAATGTAGGAATCGGAGTAGTATATATCATGGTTTCTTATCATAATAATTTAAAGTAGCTAGTGCAAAATCATGTCATGAGATGCAAAATTTTATTTTCTTGTGTTGGAAATTAAAAAGAATGATTAACGACAAATAAATCTGGTCCTGTCAATTTTTTCTTTTACTACTACATACTTTTTAATTTATTTCTTAATCAAATCTCACCATATCTTAATCAGCAGATTTGTCAGGGTTGAATAATCTTTGTTTAAATTAAACGCCTCTTTTATGTAAAGCAACTTGCTTTTGCGTCTCTAAAGCTTTTAGATAAGCCAACTGATATATACATATACTTCCTTCATATAATTATGTATGAATAATTATACATAATCATATAAGTGCGTATACAGATCTTACACTAAAACAGAAAAGGACATACGAATGAAGCTAACAAATTAAAAACCACAAGGATATATATAGGTGTTTTTGGTAGTATTAATTAATATTTTGGTTTACATAATTTTATACTATATGTTGTTTTTGCTTAGTGACATTTGAGATAAAAAGGCAAGAATATAAGTCCAAATTTGGGAGTCTGCGCATGCATGCATGCATGTAGTACTTAACAATAGAATAAAAGATGAAAGATTTGAATTATTATTCCAACAAAAAAGCAAAATGAGGAGTCACAAGAGCAGCCATTTGAATTGACACACACCAACAATATCCAATTAATCATATATTATTCGTATTTGCATTAATTTTCAAACGCCGAAAGCTTAGCATTTGGTGATGCGAATACATTTTCTTTGATTCACTCTCTTTACTTTAATTTATTTGTCTAATTTTAATTTAATATGGATAAAATTAAAGAAAGTAAAGATTTTTTTTTAAAATCTTGTGGTTTAAAATTAAAAATATATAAAATGTAACAAATTAAAATACCCTTTAAACTTGTGTTTTTGTCATTTCAAAAACTAGAATAAAAAAGTTACATTAAAGAGCTAATCTTTTTTTAAAAGACTTAAAAAGAAATTAAAACAAATAAATTGAGATGGCGGACTATCTTATTTTAGACAAACCAATAAGGACTTTAACTATGTTTTATACGTATAAATGCAAGTACACTTCAGTATTTTCAGTTTTTTAAGAAAAAAGAGTTAGGGGATTTCATGCTTATTACATGATATAGTTCATTAGTACCAATTGATTACAATTGGACTCGATCTATGGCTATTAATATTAGTGGATTAAAATTTGTTGATTATTACAAAATGACTAGAAGAAAATAAATTCATACTTTTTTGTTGTAAAAATAAGGGTCTCTTATAGGTAAATACTATCAAAAGAAAATATAAATAACCTATAAAATCAATTCTCCATCAAGAAATCAGAGTAATTAAAACTTATAGACTCAACTAGCTAGGGACTTTTAAATTAAAATTAGTTGATAGACGGGTATCAAGTACTACTTGAAATTTATTGAGATACTGCCAATTGATCTAAATAAAACTATATATGTTGTCAACCGAGACATCCAATCTTGCCAATGATCTTCACACGTGAATATTTTTTTGTTAATATATTACCTACACCAATTGCAGAGAATAGAAAATTATGACATTTTCAAATATTTCACATATATATAAGAAAAACTCCCATACATATAAAGATGAAGATATGTTAAAAGGACATAAAACAAAAAAAAACAATAATTTATAAATGACCTAAAAAATCAATCAAATATGTCGTGTCCGTACATTGAATTTGATATCTCTTGGCGATTGTAAATCTAGTAGGGACTTGTATGTTTGCATTAATTAGTGGATGGTGGGGGGTCTATTTTCTCCAACATTATATTACTTAAATATAAAGATGTTCGTGTGCATTCTTGGCCTAATTCTACAACTTCACTTTTACATAGATGACAATATATGCTCTAAAAGATTAAATAACATAATCTAGGGAATTTGTTTTTTTCCCAACATAATCTAAGTAGAGATTTGATAACTTAATTCTACTCTAATCTTGGTATGTTTCTTTTTAATATTTTTAATCCCTCCTCCCAATACCCCTCTTTAATAGTTGGATACAGTCCATAGAGTGATTGAAAAGTTATGTTTTTAATATAACGTCCAAATGGTGAATTTTTCGCCACTCATCTCTTTTTGCGATAATTGTTTTATTTTGATATATAACTTATAAACCTTTTTTAATAAGAAAACATCGGATTACAGCATAAAATTTTATTAATATTAAATAAAAATATAATATTATATTAGTGCATTTAAAAAAAAAAACAAATAAAATTTAACTAATGACCTGAAAAGATATATCTGTGTAAATCATCAGAAATTGCAGCCTTTATTTATATATAGTTACTATGTTTGTATATTTTCAATCGAAATATATGAACGGACAAGAGAAATATATATAAACCGCAGTCTCCATAGGATCATAGCAAACAAAACTATAATTATGAAACACAATTATTAAAAGGGAAAATTGTATGAAATAACAAACTATTAATTCAAATTAAATGTTATAGCTATAGTTTATTTTAATTGTAATTCGCAGCAAACATCCCCTTTTTTTGCCATCTGATTCGGTATATACAATTAGTCATTTTATACATTTCGGTATAAAATGCGTTTGTGTTTGTATAGAGCGAGAGAAAAGTATATATACAAATACAAATATATATATTCTCGTCTTATACACTTATAATACAAGTACAGATCTTATTATACAAATTACAATGTATAAATGAATTTATACAAAACTGAACAATTTGTATAAAATTGGATGTTAGTAGCGAATTATACAGATCAAAAGCTCCATAGCAAACATAAATTTTGTTATGGAGCGCAATCATGCAAACTATAGCTATAACATATAAATATAATTTTTATGTTTGCTATATGTGAAAGTTGATATTATTAAAATTATAAATATAAAACTTTAATATGTTTAATATATTTGCTATTTCTAATGCAATTTTGGAATAAACCCGGCCCACTACCACAATTAGTGCCCATTTCTCCGAAACTTCGTGATTAACGTAGCCCACTGTGGGCCCACGTTGTTATAAAAAGCATCACTAGACTAAAGAAAAGTACAAATAGTACGTAACGTACGGACAAACTTTTTGATACTTGCAATTTATTTCTTATTTAATTAGGAAAAAAAAAAAGTTCAATAGGAAGAAAATTTCAAATTCTTGACTATTAAGTTGTAGAAAGCTTGATTTTTAATTATTTTTTAAAAGGAACTTTGAATCATTCTCCACTTGCGACTTCCCCCAAAACGTCTCCATTTGTCTTTTTAAAAGCAATTTACACCATTAAAGTTCTAATTTTTTTTATATGATATATAAAGTTTAATATTTGAACTTAATTCAATCTTAAACGTCAGCTTATAAGGAAAGGAATTGTCGAGCCCATATAAGTAGACTGTCGGTTCATTTCCTAATCAAAGTGGGATAATAACTCAATCTAACACCCCCTTCACGTGTAGGCTCAATTAGAATGTGGATCGATAGGCAATAGTCCAAACGAGATGAATCTGACTGTGCTATCATGTAAAGGTATGATACCCCTAGCTAACTCAACCCAAAAGATCATTCATGTGGGAAGGATAGTCAAAGTCCATGTAAGCAAACCAACAACCCATTCCTTAATAAATATGGCTCTTAACCCGCTATAGTTTATGACCAAAGAGTCACATGATATTGTTGAACTGTTATATTCTAAAGAGTACAAGTCAATAGTTATACTAATGGATTAATGTAGATTATACTGCAATGTTCTTGAATTTACTTAAAGAGAAAGATATTCATGTTTTCATCTAAATATTTATTTTATTTTTCAATTGTAATTTATGATATATGCACCAACACAAATGTGATTATCAAAACAAATAATTAAGTTGGTTGGAAATACCAGAATCTAGTTTCAACACAATGACGAGTCCAAACTCCCAATGAAATAATTCCAAATTTAAAAAAGCCTTAAAATTGGATGAAGAAAATAAGAAAACAAAACTACTTGTGTGGATTTAACCTAGGATATTAAGGCATTCTATATCAACATAAATTGAAGAAAATCACTGTCTTAATTTGACCTATAAATATTAGAGGTCCAATAATTAACCTGACTTTAGACACATCACATTATTTCTCATTATCAAACTTTATTATCTGATACTTTTTTCTTTTCATTCTCTCCAATTACTCAATGTTTTTTTGCTTGCCTGACTTGTAACGATAATTTAGGCCAGAAATCAACTTTTCAATTAAATACTAATGTGCTTTGATGTCTTATTATACTAAACATATACTTATCAAAATAAATAAAAAATGTAGGGAGAAAGATATACTATATATTAGCGTGTAACCACTAATCAGTTGTTATCTTAACTGCACTTATTAATGAAGTTATTGAAGAAGTCAAATCTTTTAATTTGGTGATGCTCTACCAAAATGGCAAGTACTTATTTATTTATCTAAAGTAATGGTATATTATTTGAATGTTAGTTTCTTATTTAGCTACTTGATATTTCTTTTCTCGAACATAATAGAAATTCATTAAGCTAATTAAAGATTCTGTCAACTAGACATACTCACATTACTTAACAAACGAAAAAAGAAAAAGAAAGTGTAGTGGTCAACATGTGGACGATTTAGGAGACGAAATGTGCAAAAAATGAAGTTTAGTCGTAGTTACCTCAAGCAAAGATCAATCAAGGTTCAAGATGGTAACATCCTTCGAGTGTGTTCCTAGTTGATCATGCTAGATCGGGGAGTATCCCTCGTCAGTAAATATATCACGTAAGCTTCGTGATTAAATAAATAATTCTGAAAAATTTGAAATTCTTTTTAAACTGACAATTATAAATTTACATACATACTCAACGTGCGGAAAACATAGAAACAAATCTAGGAGGGTGGGGCGAAAGTGTTCACCCAAACCTCTTCGATAAATCATAATCGTTATCGACATATGGAGGAAAGTTTAGGTAAGATAGAATTAAAAGCAAAAGACAGAGCAACTTTAAGGATTAAAAGTTGAAACAGCCAAATGCGTCACTAATGAGTAGCCCACAAAACTTCCCCTATTTGCTAAAGCAAAACGCCCACACACTTATTTTACGAATCCTCACCTTATTGGTCCTCTTTAATTCAAACCTATCTTTATTTTTGCCTTTAATACTTACTACTATAAATATTCACATTTAATCTTCTTCAGCCTCTTATATAAAAAAAATATATTCCCTTCAGATTGCGTACATAAGCCCTCCAACTTTGAAAAAAAATAAAATAATAACGTGACTGTTGCCTTCACTCCCAAACCGTAACCTCCAAATACTTTACAACATTCATTTTTACTTATTTATCTAGTATTAATTTGACACATTTTTTAATAAGTAATAATTAAATAACAATTTAATATATCATTCTTTGAATAATGTAAATTTAATTTTTGTGATATAAATTAAAAAATGACTATAACTAATAATAAAATTAAATTAGAAAATAAGTAATAAACTATCTCTTTATTTTTCAATCTAAACAAATAAAAGTAAACTAATATAATATAATAAATTTAACATCTATGGAAATTAATAGAAACTTAGTCATAAAGAACAAATAGATATAAATTAATGAAGGCATTACTTTCTCAGTTTTTTTTCTCTTAGAGTCAAACTATATAAATTTGACTATACAAAAAGCTGTAATATATATATTACTTTTCATTTAATTATTAAATAACTAATTTTTAATTTTTAATTATCAAATTAATATAATCTAATTTAATTTTAAAAATTATTTAAATTAATTGTTGAAAAGCTTAATATACCAATTAAAAAGAAACGGAAGGGAAGAGAGTTGAAAAGTTTAAATGCTTTCCGTGGTATACGTACATGTACTATTTTTCTTCTTCTGTTTTTTTGGTGACTATTAGCCGCACATTCCCCCATTTACAATTCAATATCAAGTGAGTTATCATTTTACTATATATAAATGACCCTCTGCACATCTTCTATTCACTTCCCCAACAACAAAACTGCTCAAAGAAAAATAAATAAACACAACTCCCCTTACCTTCTTCATCTTCAATTTTCTTCTGAAATACTCTAATTTTTTCAGATGAAAAACTCAATTTGTAATAGCCATGTTCCATATACCAAATTCTCTTTCTGAAATTTGCTTTACTCTTTTCAGGTTCATAACTGATCCCTGGCCTTTTTCTTAAAACCCCAACTCAAAAATAAAAAATTTCTTCTTATTTAATTTTTCTCCTACAAAATGCGCAGATTCCGAGGCTTCGTGCTCAAACATCGAATCACCGCACTTTTCCGATGTGTTAACCGGCGACGGCGTTTTCCGGCGAAGTACCGCCGGCTGGACAGACATCCAAGCTGGGGTTCGAATTCAATTTCTAAGTTCTTAAGCTGGACCCGCCGTCTCAAAACGAGAGCTAAGGCTATTTGCAGCAAGGGTAATTATTCCGGGTCGGGTCGGGGGTACATACATGTCGGGCAAGACCCGATTAAAGAGGAAAGTGTGCCGAAAGGTCACTTGGCGGTTTATGTGGGTCAGAAAGACGGTGACTATAAACGGGTTTTGGTTCCGGTAATTTATATAAATCATCCTTTGTTTAGTGAATTGTTGAGAGAAGCTGAAGAAGAATACGGGTTTAATCACCCGGGTGGTATAACGATTCCTTGTCGGATCTCGGAGTTTGAGCGTGTTCAGACCCGGATTGAACAGGGTCGGGTCGGGTAACCCGGAAAAGGTGTTGTGAACATGGAGGTGGTGACTGGTGATGCATGCAGATACCATTTTGATAATGACGATAGTTATTAAGAGATTTTTGTAGTTTTTATTGAATCCTTTTTCGTTTTTTGTCTTTTTAAATTTTTAATTTTCGGAGGTTTTATTTGTGATGTAAGAATAGTTTGTGGATGTGTACAGTATTTATATAGGAAACTTCCGATCTCTTTCCAGTTTTTTTGGGCTTTTCTTCAACATTTTGATTTTTGCCTTTAAAACTGATATTTCTTTTAGTTTTTTGTTTTATCTATTTTTTTTCTTCTGTAAATACTACTAACCATATTTGATAGGTGTTCAGTTTGGTTATGACCTAACTAAGTATTAAGTTGAACAATTTCAAGTACAAGAATTAGCAATAATAACAAATTAAGTGTAATTTCAAAAATAGTGTGTAAGCATATTTAGTTATCACTTCTTAGAATCAACAGGCCTTCAAAATCATTCATTTGAAAAAATTGAAATTCTTTTTATAGGATGATTATGATGCTTTCTAAAAATCAAAATTCTCAATCAACAGAGAAATAATATCACCATTTTTGTATAAATAAAATATCAAAGTGAATAATTATTTCAATCTCATACAAAAAGTAATTGACTTGGCACACCCCTAAAGAAACAATAAATAATTAAGTACTATTTTATCTTTTGACTTTATTAAATTTAATGTTTTGAGAAATGTGTTAAAGTAGTAATTTAATAGCAAGGGTAAAATAGACACAAAAGATAAATTATATGTTGATTTTTTAAAATGAACAAATATTGTTAGACAACTATATTTAATATAGTGGATAATTATTATTGGACGGAGGGAGTAATAGTTTAGGCAATTGCAACATTGTCATGGATCTCCCTTTTTGAGGTTATCCTTTGAGAAAGACAGTTTTGGAAACTCCAAGCATCATTTATTTTCCTATGAAATGGGAAAGGAGTACATACAAATAATTGATTTTTAATAAAAATGTTTTTCCATTTGTATACTGTGAGTGAGTTTAATAAAATGGAGAAGAAAAAATGCGAAAAACGTTACTTACAATCGGTGCATATTAAGTGTAAGAAGAATATTAAAAACAAATTGAAGTGATTTAATTAGTGCTAATGAAAATTTACGGTCAGATTTAAACAAATAAAGAAGGAAATTTCCAATTTTACCTTTCATTATACTTTGGATTCATTTCTACTGTTTTAACCTTTGTCATTAGTAAAGTTCATGTTTGAAATAAATGAACTCTACGTGATAAAATAATTTAAAGAAAAAAATTACTTTTAACTACCATTAAATTATCATCGGATTGGAGTCCTGTCAAGGATAAGATGAAAATAGTATATTTTCTAATTAGGGGACAAAATTAGACTCAGAGTATATAATAGAGGACAAAATTACTCAATTTCTTAAAGTAGATGAATAAATTAATCCTTTTCCAGAAAGGAAATATTTAGTTATGGTAATATTAGGAAAAGTGCCTAATGCTGTTCCTCGCGAGCTTCTTAATTTTGTTATTCTTTAATTATTTTGTTTCAATCCAAATAAATAAAAACAATAAAATTTTGCAATTAACAAAACCTACCGCTAAATACTTGTCAACTATAGTTAATACTCCCTTTGTCTCAATTTATATAACATACTTTCTTTTTTAATCTGTCCCAATAAGAATGACACATATTTATATTAAGTAACAATTTAAATTTAAAATATTCATTTTATCTTTAATGATATGATTTATATATAGTCATACAGTCTATCATTCATTTTACACCACACGTTTAAAAAATATTCATTTTACACTTTTAAAAAATATTCCTTTTTTTCTTAAACATTGTGCCGAATCAAACTACCTCACATAAAATGAGACGGAGGACGGAAGGAGTATGAAGTAATAAAAAGTTATTCAAAAGAGCATATATAATTCATTTAATTTAATATATGTTTTGACACAAGTTTTATCATTTAGAGTATTCAAAAATAAGTTGAGAATATTTTTAATTACAAAAATTAGAAGAAGGATATTTATGAGCCTTTTCTGTTTTTTTTCTTCAAAATATTTCTATGTAGACAAATTTCATTTTTTCCCCCAAAATATTTCTATGTAGACAAATTTCATTTTCACAAGAAAGGTATTAGGTATGTAATCATTATAAAACAGAATGTGTTATTAGAAATTTGTACTTATCTTTTCCTATGTGAAATATGGGATATATAAAGTTATATAACTAACAATCACTACATAAAAAATGAGCTTTAGCGGCAATTAATTAGCAATTGCCGCTAAATATGTAATTTTAGCAACAATTAGCACTCTTTGTATATGTCCCTAAAGGCTTTAGCGATATTGGATCTAATGACACTTAACTAATGTCGCTAAAAATTTTAGCACTCTTTATTAATGTGTCTATTTATTGCCGGTAAAAATTATTTTTGTTGCTTGTGGATATTTTTCAAAATTGACCCATTTTTGAAGAGGGATAAAAATTAAAAAGAATAGGAAGAAAGAGTATTTGCCGTCAAGGAGTTTATCTCCACGAGTGTCGTTTTCCGCAATAGTGGGAGAATCTACATATATTCCAAGTAATGAACAAATAATTAATGTAAAGAGAAACTTCACTTGCCCAACTTTAATAGTTGTCAAATTCAATTCCGCTTCATTTTACTTGGTCCATATTGACTTGACACAATTTCCAAACTAATCGATCTTATTAATAATGTTTTCAGCTTTAAATTTGACTGCTATTATTTTATATAGTTATGTTTTTTTTTTTTTTTTTTTCCAAATCCATCTGTGATGGAGGGGTTTAGGCGTAGCCCCAACCTGTGCATTGCTTCAAAAGATCACACTTACAAAAGAAGAGGGTGGATATTTGTCCAAGCCCCCTTGAGTTACATGGAGGATGTAGATTTCCTCTTTGTACAAGAAATGTCCCCTACTATTAGGAATGAAATAACCACATATGAAATTTGTCAAGGACAAATCATTTACAATGTAAATTCTGTTAGACATTAGAATACTAACTACAAAATATACTAAACTCTTGTTAAAATCAACCATGATCATAGACATAACATGATATAATATCCACCATGATATAATTTCTTCCACAATTGATGAGAGTAAAAAGGCACAAATATAATATCCACCAATAGACATAACATGATACATTATGTGACATATGATATATTTTTATTAATATTAAAATGTCACACTAACATAAATATCTTTTAATTTGCTAAAATTGACAATTAGGGAGTAATACCTCCATGAAACTAGACTGAACCAAAAAGTATTTAAGAGCTTAAGATAAGTGGTCCTCCATTAGGCAAATAGAGCATAAAGTTCACCTCTTTTTTTAGGTTCTTTTTCCAAAAGGTTTATGTACATTAATGATCTTGAAATTCTTCGAAGCCACATGTATTGTCCCAATAAATCATAGTCATTCCATAGTTTGCTTTGATAAATCAAATCAATTTTACTCCAATAAATTATCTAAATATACATATAGCAATATGAGAAATTAAAAAAAAAGTAATTAAATTAAATTAATTCATATAATCACCATTAATATTTAATAGTTTTCTTAATGAATATGTCAAAACTATTTATTTTGGACCGGAGGAATCGAAAGTACAATATTAAGATCAACAAATAACTATTCCCAATTTCTAGTCATATAAGAAGTATAGGTAATTAAATAGAACGTTCATAAGTAGTCAGACCTTTTAAGGTCTAATAATATGCAGAGAATTTTCTTCATAAAATGAAAAAAGAATAGTTGGACAAACTGTGTGTGAAAATGAGATTGTGTTACAAATTACAATAAATTAAAGAAAAGTCTCGTTGGTGTAGCTGTTTGACAATCCTTGTATGAAAGAGAGATGACGAAGAAAATAAATGATCGAAGGCGGAGAGCCAGCTTCCTCTATTTCATACTATTTGACCTATTACAATTGTTGCTATTATTTTATAGAGCTATTTAATATGAAGACACTCCCACTGTTCTAAATAAGTGGTGTTTGTAGTTTGAATGCACATTAAACAAACTACTCCAAAGTTCCTAGTATTTGACATATACTTTTACTCATAATAAATTATACCTTGAAAAAAATGTCAGACAAATTAAAAGACTCCCCCAATGTTAAATGTAAAACGGTAATTAGAGAAGAGAAACAACATGGAATTAAAAATCTTAACTTTAGGCAAAAGTTTAGTTCCTAGCTGGTAGATGGATCCTATATAGGTGCCATCACTAATCACTATGAATTTCTAGGTATTTGAAAGAGTGACAGTGGACCATGAGTTGTCATATTGATATAGAATACTAGGTTGTTACTTATTTTAAATCCTTAATGCTAGTCCCTAGAAGAAAAAAAAAAAGTCCCTAGAAAATTCTAATGAGGGATTATACTTATGCAGGGATCAACATAATTAAAAAAAAATAAACAGCTTGATCTCCCATAAATTTCCCAAAAAGAAAAGAAAAAAGACGCGAAAAGAATAGTATGAATTAGTTGATAAAGTGATTAACCAAATGGGGTTCTCAAGTTCAAAATTCTTAATATGTTTTTTGATTAAAGCTTGTTATACGAAACTTACCCAATATGATAATGACTGTGCATTTTCTGGTAAGATATAATTAGAATTGAGCAATGTGTGATAAACAAGATTATGACCAAATGAGCCGTTAAGGAACAGGCACTCAATGCTCATCATTCACAAGTCTCCAAATCCCACTTGATAAATGGTCCATATGTTCCACAATATAATTCATCACCAAGTGTTATTATTATTACTAATACCACATCTTGCCAGCACAGGACCAATATATATTACTTTTTCTGTTTTAATTTATTTATGTGATATATGTGAAATTTGAAATTAATCAACTTCTTAACATGTTTTTATATATTAGACTCAATCAATTATTTATATATATAGAGAGAGAGATTTTAAGTTGATAATTATTGTGATTTATAATATTTTTTTACGTAATTTTCACATAATATATATTGCTCTTTTAATACATATTACTCTTTTTGCGTTGATTTATGTGATACAAATGAAATTTCAAAAGTCAATTATTATTTTTTTAGAAATTCGTTTTGATATATAAGTTATTAAGTATTGTGATTTACAATATATTTTATGTACTTTATATAATATATCTTTCTCTTTATCCCAATTTATGTGGTATAAATGAAATTTTGAGAGTTAACGATTTTTTTTATATATTTTCAAATATTTTGAAGCTATTAATTATTATGATTTATAATATTTTTTTAATATGCATAAAGTGATAAAAGACAAAAAGAAAATTAAATTACCAAACTACCCCTAGTTACAAGCAGGCATGTTGACGAAGTGCTGCCTGCTTGTGGCCTCTTCTATAGTATAGTAATAAATATTTTCATTCGGTGTTCATTTATTAAATTATAAATTTTTTAGTTAAAACCAAATTATTAAAACTACTTCTCTATGTGCAGCTTAAAATAACACTAATTAAGTCGGAAATGTTTTTTTGGTAGGATGACAATTTTTATTCAATATTAAATCGATAATTTTGTTTGACCAAAATTTTATAAGTACTAATGTGAAGAAAATTAACATATAAAAAATTAAAGGGTAAATAAAACTATATCGTTGTTGAATAATAAACTAGTAATGTTTGCCAATTCACATAATTTTCTCTATAAAAAGAAATAGTTTCTACTATGTGAAATGAGATGGAGTAATCTTTCCTAAAAAATGTGAAATACCTCAATTTTCTTAAATAAACAAATCATTTTCTAATAAAAAAACACTTTTGACTTCCTAAAAGTTTGGCCTTCCAAAAAAAAAAATTCTACTTTTAAAAACTAAACAAACTATTTTTCTCATTTTCCTCCTCCCTAGACCCTATTATGCATGATTCTCTTTTGATTTTTTTATTAGCTCAAATAAATTTTTTACTTTAGTGATAATTCGTATTATGTTTTTCAGATTACATGCATATGTTATCGAATAAGAAGAACTAACCAAAAGGATGAGGATTTTCAAATATATATCTTCTATATTTTGATCTAAAGCAAACAAACTCATATACTACAATATAAGATTTTTTTTCATAATTATATTTTTCATGGCGTTAATTCGTTTAGTTTATTTCTTTTTGGTTTTGTCTTCAATAAGATAATTACAGAGCTCTAGAAGCTAGAGGACATTTTAATTAAGTTGTCAAAGAAGTAGGAAAGTCTAAATAGTTGAACTTACCAAACAACTCTAATATTTTTTTAATGAGAAAATCCACCCACTTAATTAATTTGAAAGAATTAATTGCATTAGGCCTGTTACGATTGTTGACTATCTAACGTCTTCATCAATCGTTTAGTAAACGCTTCATTAAATTTTGACAAAATTCAAATTTATATACTACCATTAAAGGTGCGTTCAAGTTTACCTTTCAAAATTTGGAAAAGAGGGATGAAATACTCAACAAACTATTGACAAAATACCTTGCATTCATGGTGGGGAATTAATTAATGTGACAAGTACTTTAATTACATACACCTAATTTGAATAAATAATCCTACATGATATGTCTGGAAAAAAAATTATAATTGTATTTTCAATCTTTAGAATTAAAAAATTATTTTTTTTATAAACCACTTCATTTGGTTACATGGTTCTCAAAAATGTAGTATCTGAAATTTGAATTTGGAACTTCAAAAAGATTTCTGAACCACCTAGACAACTGAGTCCACCTCTAGTCATATGTTTGAGGAAATCAAAATCTATATAGATCACATAAACAAATTTTTTTTAAAAATACATTTTTGTTATGCCCCTTGCGCCCTCCTAGATCCACCCTAGGGCATAAGTTCTTTAGAAATCGAATCTATGTACGGAAATAACTTATCGAATATTATGATATAAAAATATTTTGTGGAAAAATTGTTTATTACGAAAGGCATAAATTAAATATCAACCAAAATTGGGTAAAAAGTGCAAATGACCCTTCTTTTAGCCCTGGTATTCCCCAAAGCTTAATGTGAGATGGGCCACATAATGGTTAGTCGGGACATGACCCACAAATAATGTCAATTGCCGCCCAATTGGATTCAAGCCCAAGCTGTTAACCAAACCAGATCCAACGAGTATGGCTAAATTATTGGGCTTGAAATTTTGTGGGTTTAATTATGAATTGATGTATACATAATACAATCAATTGACATTCACCAATTACAAATAGTAACTTTTTTTTTAAAAATAAAATAAATTATACATAATAGCAAATATTTATCCTATATTAGGTATTATAACTATAGTTTAAGAATACTGCAATTCATAGCTACAGTTTCCCCAATTCTTGTTATTCACCTGATTTGTATAATTCGCCTGATTACAAATTCAGAACTCGTATAATTCGGTTCCTGATTGTATAAATACAAAATTTGATATATGCTTACCCCTAGCTATTGGTAAACGATTTACAAAATATTCATAATAAAGTACCTTATTTGTATATTGACAAGCGAAATATACAAAGAGATTCTGGAAATACAGAATTTGTATATTCGCAAGCGAAATATACAACCCGAAGCCTCCATAGCAAACAAAACTATAACTATGAATCGCAATTATCGAAACTATAGCTAGAAAGTTTTATTATGTCTATTACGTTTGCTATTTCTAAAATTTTCTCCTTTATTTTTTTTGCTAGTTGAGTTAGTTGATATTTAAATGGGGTAGCCCAAGTTAATCCCATCAGGCTATAGGAGGCTAACTGGAACCGTGCTCATTTTAAAACAGGCTGAAAAGAAAATTTTGTAACCTCATCCAATTAGTGAGTGACTGGTCTCATAGACCTAGCTCATTTTGAGAACTATAACAATAGTAAGATAGGAATACGTGTGCCTATAGAATTTATTCGAAGGAACAACTCAACCTGGAATAATCTAGAATCCACTTGCTTGCACTCATCGTTATGGTTATCGAAATGAGATAGATAAAAATATTCTATGGAATTAGCTTATCTGATCTCACCTTATATATGATATATATAGCTAATACCATAATTTTAATATAAACTAAATCCGAAAATTAATTAATATTCATTATCAAACGCAAGATAAAATAATTCCTATTTTATTTCGAGATTGTTATTGGTTGTAGCATCAACCAAACAATCCCAAAGGTACATGTACTTAAAGGACAGCATATCTCTACAAAGAGGCCCAAAGATATATACCAAATGAGCACAAAATTAAAGCTAAAAACACAACACTTTAATTTAACTATTTTCCTCGAAGTCCACAAAATCGAATTAAAGCATCAAAGCCAAAAAATGAACAATATAAAAGGAAGACAAATTCCATAAAATCCCAAATAAAAAAAATAAAAATAAAAATGTTGATCATCACAAATCTTACACAACACTCTTTATCTTTATTCAAACTCTCTTCTTCTCTTTCAATTTTCTTCCTTTACTTCTTCTACACTTTCTTACTTCTTAATAATAATCATATTGTTAAAGCTCACATTTTTATCTATGCAGGTTGTTCACAAGACAAATATCAACCAAATTCTCCTTTTGTTCAAAGTTTAAATTCTCTACTCTCCTCATTAGTTTCTTCTTCTTCACAATCTCTTTACAATAGTTATGCTTTTGGAAATGACACTTCAGCCCCTCAAGAATCGTCTATTTATGGTTTGTATCAATGTAACGGTGACCTACAATTAAAAGACTGTTCAACATGTGTGGCAAGTGCTGTTGGACAAATGAACGTAGTTTGTCCATACAATTTTGGTGCTATTTTGCAGTTAGATGATTGTTATGTGAGATATGAACATGACGATTTTATTGGAAAACCGGACACGAGTTTAAGGTATATACTAGCCTCATCTAAAAATTTAAACTGTACGTACTTTTATTTACTTAATTATATTATATGATGATTTTAACAGGTATAACAAGTGTAGCAAGAATCAACTACGAGGAGACGGTGAGTTCATTAGGCGTAGGGATGAAGTTCTAGCGGGATTAATGCAAGGTGGTGGTGGGGTGAAGGGTTCTAAGGTTAGCGGGTCGGGTTCAATAGAAGGATTTGCACAGTGTTTGGGTGATTTGATTCCTGAAGATTGTTCTGCTTGTATTTCTGAGGCTGTTTTGAAGTTGAAGGACATGTGTGGTGATGCTGCTGCTGCTGATGTTTATTTGGCTCAGTGTTATGCTAGATATTGGGGTTCGGGTTATTATCACTCTTCCGGTAAGAGTTTAACTTCTTTACGTTGATAGTATAAAGTAATTAGTTATTCATCATGAAAAATAAAATTATTTATTTATTGATGGTTTAAATATTCTTTAATTTGTACTATCAATATAGATGTTAGTTATTTCATTTTTGTACTTTTGTTTTTTAAAGTAACACAAGGATAGTGGAAGAGTTTATAGATGGTTTATTTGATAAAAAATTGAACTTGATAATCATAGATGATATTGAAGTGCATGACTCATAATATAGGTTTTCTTGCTTTCTTATGAATAGTGTTATAACTTTCAATATGTAAATTATACTATTGCATAAATTTGATATAAGACTAAATTTTAGAGTCACAACTTCTTGATATAATTACTCTCTTCGTCTCAAATTAACAATAACTTTAGCCCATAAAAATATGATTTTAAATATCATCATAGGAATTTAAGATTTAAATTTGTAATTACTCCCTCCGTCCCCAATTTACAATTACTTTAGATCATAAAAAAATGATTCTAAATATCATCTTAGAAATTTAAGATTAAAAATTTGCAATTTTTTCAAATATAGCCTTATAATTTTTTTTTTATGTTGATCAATTTTTTTTTAAAATCTAATAAATAGGATATTTTAATAAATTCTATCTTGTATTTTTTTTAATGGGCGTACAAAGAGCTAAAACAATAATTAAATTGGAACCGAGGGTTATAGAACTTTGCTAGAATTTCATTAAATTGATTTTTTTTTTCTTTTGTGATTGTTTGTGTTTTAAATTAACAAATTCTTCCAAATTAATTCATGAGGGACGTTTCAAGCCACTTATATATACGATAGGATAGAAAAGCAAAAGAATCAATCACATTTTCCGAAAACAAATTATATCCAAAAATATTCTTTTCCTATAGCATAAAGTTAGGAATAATCCACTTTAATTTAAATCTTTAGTGAATTTGTCCATTGGGATATCTTTTTTTTTGTGTTTTAAAGTTGTTATTCCCTCTTTCTTTTAAGCTTCACCTTCCACTTTGTTCCTATCGTACATACATAAAGTCCCTTTATATCAATATCAAAATGGCACAAATTAACATTTGTATAAGAAAGTAGGTCAAAATCCCTATAGAAAACAGAATTCATAATGCTTATCATATCTTCTATGATTTGCCTTGAAAGTAGCACTCCAAATATCGCAAATTACAAACTTAGAAGCAGTTATTGAAAAAGTGCGTAATAATTCAGAATCAAATGGGGCTAATAAGCAATTCACTAAAGCTGTGAAATGTCAAAATATATAAAATAAGTAACATCTTTTCCAAGTTAATTTATGCCGTATTTCTATTAATATAACCTTTTTTGTCCATTTTTTTAAATTAAATGATGAGTTGGGACTTGTTAACATTATATTTTAAAATGAATTTTGATTATATATGTTCACTCAATTTGTGAGCAGATCGATCCAACGACGATGACGTAGGGAAAACAGTGGCAATAATCGTTGGAGTATTAGCTGGCGTTGCTGTTTTCATCGTTCTCCTCTCAGTTTGCCGCAAATCTATGGGTTAAATTTCTATACTAAATTAATTTATTACGGTATCACAATTTCTATACGATGTTTGACCTTATATTATATCTTTCGGCCACACTCTACACTTTAGTTGCCAGATCAAAATATGTGAGATCTTGAACTAACTTTTGAAATTGAATTAGAATCAAAGTTTAGTTTCTTTATCGTCTTATTATTATATTATAAATTTTTATTTTTTTTCTTGATTCTTTGTAGGGTAAAAAGAGAAAAGAGAAGCTTAAGCATGGTCAACGAAGTGAAAGGTCGACTTCTGTGGGTTTATTTGTTAGAAAGCAATTATGAGTTCCACTTTTATTTTGTTTTTGCTAATTTATTAAATGCAAATTGTTAGGTGTATGGACTTCTATTTTTGTTTATTAGAAGCTATCATCATGAGTTCCACTTACTTTTATTAATTTATATTAGACACAAAACTTTAGGTATGTCTAAAAAGTTGAATTTCATCTTTTGGCATATATTTTAAATTTAAGTGACTGATAGACCAACTTTGGCATAAAGAATCGTCATCCTTTAATTTATCAATCAATTACATTTCAATGAGACAATCTTTAGTGGGAATATTTTAGAGATTTTCTTTTCGAATGTGCAATCCAGAATATTGTTAGATTCTTCTACGATAAAATATTACTTGAGTGACTAGGTTTTATGTTGTCTTCTTTTAAGTTTCACTAGTACGTACTCGCGCATTGCGTGGATAATATTAAAGAAAATGATTATGTTATACAATTTGTTCGAATATATATTATACACTATAATATCTCTTTTTTATCAGTTTGAGATTCAATGTACAATTTAAAATTAAAATTTGAAATAATAAGGGGCACTAAACCACTCTTCAAAATTCTTGACTGAACTAATGTGATGCATGTTATTTTTATATTTTAATTTAATTTTTGTAAGTCAATGATAAATATTTTTTTGTGTGGTATGTGGCAGTCAAATTACAATGGTAAAACCTACTTCTAGTTCTAATTAATTAGTAGGTTAAAGAAATAATCAAATCGAGAATATATATCGATTTAATACTTAACCACCTGAGTACTAATATAATTTTTTCACAAATCTAAAATCTCACATCATAAGTTACTAAATGATCATCAACTTTCACTATTTGGCATAAGAGACGACATTCTATGAGGTGCTTAATTATCAAATCCGCTCCTTTCCGCAATAATCCTCTTAAGAAAAAAATTTATTATTACAAAATCACGACAGAAGTAATAAATACTATATGAAGGAAAGCATATATGTAGTGGTATAATACAACTTAATTTTGTGTGTCCCATTCAACAATTTGGGCAAATTACAGAAATCACATACTTTTAAGGCAAAATTACAATTTATCCCTTAAAAGTTTATAATTACAGAAATCCCTCATTTTTGCACATCAGTTTAGTGTATCAACGCTTATATTATTGTATCTCGCGCATCAGATTAATGTATCAACGCTTATATTATTGTATCTCGCGCATGTATCACCACTTATATAGCTCTGATACATTAATTTGATGCGCGAGATACAATAATATAAGCGTTGATACATTAATCTGATGCGCGAGATACAATAATATAAGCGTTGATACATTAATCTGATGTGCGAGATACAATAATATAGGCACTGAACATTAATTTGATGCGCGAACATGAGGGATTTTGGAAATTTGTAAAACTTATAGGGGATAATGGTAATAAGTAAACTAAAAGGTGGGATTTCTATAATTTTTCCTTTTTCTTAACCAATTATACCAAATTTAAGTGGCAGATCTTATAACTTTAAATTATCCATTCAATTTTAAAAGGTTACACAAAACACATTCTATCAAATTAAGACGTCTTTTCCAACCAATAAATAAATAATAATAATAATAATAATTGAGTAACAGATAGAGATGACAAAATATAAATAAATAGAATAATCACAATATCAAACTTTTAAAATTTGCTTATATTTGACTTCTTCGAATAAATAAAATGAGCCTCCTATTCTACATATACTTTGGAATAACTATATTAATTTTGGGGAGACATCTGATTATTGCATGCGCATGTTGAATCTGTGGAACAGCAAGAGTAGAGAGTTTGGAAAGTATAATTGAATTTCGCAACATCAACAAATAAATGATTCAAAAAGTAAATCAACAACAACATCAAGCAGAGACCAATTTTTTTTTTTAATCTTTTATGAGAAAATTTGTAGGCAAATTATAATTGCTAAAAGTTGGCACATGAACCACTTTATACCGTGAAATAAGTAATAATTTTTAAGGGATGATAATAACTTTTAATTTTAATTTTAGTTTTTTTAAAATAACTGATTTCAATTTAAATTTTTCTAGTTTTTTTAGTTATTGATTTCATTTTTTTAACTGACAATAAAATTATAGGTTAATTTTATTTAGTTTTTTTTTTGGCTAAAAGTTAGCACATGAACCACTTTATAACGTGAATTAAGTAATAATTTTTAAGGGATAATAATAAATTTTAATTTTTTAAAAATAACTGATTTCAATTTTAATTTTTTTTAGTTTTTTAGTTATTGATTTCATTTTTTTAACTGACAAAAAAATTCTAGTTTAATTTTATTTAGTTTTTTTTGGATAAAAGTTGGCACATGAACCACTTTATAACGTGAATTAAGTAATAATTTTTAAGGGATAATAATAAATTTTAATTTTAATTTTAGTTTTTTTAAAATAACTGCTTTCAATTTAAATTTTTTTTAGTTATTGATTTCATTTATATAACTGACAATAAAATTCTTGGTTAATTTTATTTAGTTTTTTTAGTTATTGATTTCATTATTTTAATTTTTAATATTTCTAAATTTCATCTATTACGTGATTTCAGTTATTTTTTAAAAAAAATTATTTTTATGTTTGCATTTATTTTACTTTCATATTTTGAAATTAGTTTTGTTAATTTAATATAATTTTGTTTCAAAAGACTCCATCATCCATTGTGGTTATTTTTTTATTTTTTGTTTCAAATAAATTAATTTGATTTTTTTGTAAATTATTTTAAAATAAATGCAGGTTGTCAATATTTTGACTTATTAAAAGTCAATTCTTTTATTGTTAGAGAAATGTCAATTTATTTAGATTAGCTTTTATGTTATTTTTTTTAATGATTATTTGTTAAAAACATTTGAAAGACTCCAAATCCTTTTTTTTACGCTATTTCAATTTTTTTAAATAATTTAATGTGTGAGTTTTCTTTTGATAGAGTGTCATAATCTTAAAATGATTGGTCAATTGAAACTCAAAAATCCAATAAAATATCATAAAATGCGGTAATTATTTTTCAATAATTTACTATGTGAGTTTTCTCTTTTTGATAGAGTGTCATAATTTTAGAATAATTGGTGAACTGAAACTCAAAAATTCAATAACATGTGAAGCATGAATTACACATGTGATCGTAAAAATATGATAAATATCTTCAATCTTTTTCGTAGATTAGAAAACTAATTAAATAATCTCTCTATTAAGAAAATTAAGATTGTTTTAAAAAGAATTTTAAAAGTATGCGGATGCTACAACAATTTTTGCCATCAATTATTTTGAAGTACAAATATTTTGGAGGTTTGTCCTACAACTATTATTTTTTTGTTGATTATTTGGTAGTAAACTTTTTTGGTTTGAAATTTTGTTTTTATATATATATAATTAAAAAACAATTAGAACTTTAAAATAATTTAAAATCTAAGTAGATATAAAAAATATATTTTAAAATATGATATATTTTTTTCTTAAGCATATTTTTATAGAAATACAGTTTTCAAAATATAGGATCGAAACTATTAAGACCGCGTATTTTATGTTTTAACCTTAATATTTACTTAATATTTTAATTTTAATTTTGATTAAACTAATCTGGTTATATTTTATCTTTTAGTTTAAATTAATTATTATTACATTGACGTCTTATTAAATACCATTATTAGGTTTTATGAAATATGATATTTTAAATATTCAATATTAATTTTTCTTTCTTTTCAAAATTCTTTTAATAATATTAACTTTTCTTTCTTTTCAGAATTCTTTTAATATTGTCCTAGAAATTATTAGAATTTAAATTAAAATTTTAGAAAAAAAACTTTAATAATATTGTAAATTGACAGCTTTTGATTATGTCAATTGACAGTTTCTTTTATTATTTTTATTTTTAGTTTTTTCATCTTTTTGTAAATTGATAGTTTTTAATAATTTTTTGTTTTCTATTTTAAATTTAATTAATTGAAACTGAAAATTCGAGAATGTAATGTTTTTTGTGTAATGGTGGGTTAATAATAATATAATAATGACGAAATTAAACATGTACATGTTTCTTCTCATTTTATGACTTCCACGTCTTTAGAAGAAAGGATGATCAAATAAAAAAAAATCATCAGATGATTTAATTTAGTACTAAATAAAAACTTTTAAGGTTAATCGAAGAACTCTATACCTTTTTAATGCACTTAAATTGATGACGACATTAGTTGAGTTTAAATGGAGAAACATTTTTTATAAGAATTCTTGTAGCAAATCTCATAATTTGGATTTTATTTATAATAAAAAATATATAATAGAAAGGGAAATAAAGACTGTCAAGTTTTGAGTTTTACCTGGTAGAAAATTCTTCAATCTGTGATAAAGTGTACTTCAACCCTACAAAATCATAGTTCTAATTTTATAATGTAGATAAAAATAATACGAATTCAGAAAGAAAACAAAAAGATAAATCAATTGAAAACACATTTCCAATTTATTTCGAAACAACACAAATATGAAACTGAGAACAAATATATGATCTGCATTCTTTTTCTTTTTTGGTAAAACTTAAAAGATCTTCTTTCATTCATTTTTTTTTTTTTGTAAATTGAAGCCCTAATTTTTTTTCAAGAAAATCAATAAATATAAAATGATACAGAGATTGTGGAAAAGAATGAAAAATCTATCTATATGACGACAAAGCGGGTGAAAGTTACAATACTTTTGAATTGGCAGTTTTGTTTTTTAAAATAATTGATAGTTTTTTTGTGATTTAAAATTTAAAGGCTCTTAAAATTTTATTATTTTTGAAAAAGAAGCCAACGTGTGACAAATTTGGGTTCTTTTAATTGTGAAGCTTCATTGTTTTTTTTTTTTATATTCAAAAGTATTTAAAACTGCATGTTTCGAAAGTATTTCAAAACTGCAAATTGACATTTTAATTGTGATTAAAAAATTATTTTTAGGAAATATATATAAAAAATGATAATATTTAGTTAGTTATTATTCACTTGTAGAACAAGTTATTTTTTAAAATTACCAACTAATGCAGATTTAAAGTATTTTAAAATTTTTTATACAAAAAAATGGAAAATTTTTGTAATGCTGACATGTGACACTTTTTACTTCTCCTTTTATATATATATGTGTGTGTGAATATTGTCTTAACTAGGTTTAGGCATATTTCAATTCAAAATCGAAAGTCTGCACTGAATTTTTTAAAAATGGGTTTTGGTTTGTTGGGACATCAATTTTAATTTTTAAGAATTCAATTATTCAATTTGGTTTTTGTTTTTTAAAATTTAAATTTAATTAACCAAAGAATCGAATCCGTTAATTAAATAGTACTATTAAGTTAGGCTATATTGGGTACAACCAAGGAAATAGGCCCAAAACAAATTACACCAACATCCAGTTGACTTCCCAATTTACTTTGTAAAAATTAGGCAAATCACATAGTATAAGAAGGAAATTACTTCCTATCCCTATTTTTTCATTAATTACCAAAAATTCCTTTTTTAGTGTCTTTCGGATACATAATATAGCTGCGCGGATACTTTAATTAATAAAGGGCGGATACTTAAATTATTAAGTTGTTGGCACGGATACTTTAATTAATAACAGGCGGATACTTAAATTAAAGGGCGGATGCATAATATAGCAGCGCGGATACTTTAATTAATAACGGGTGGATACTTAAACTAATAAAGTATCCGGTTAAGTTGAATTGGGGGAAAATAAGGGATTTTTGTATTTTAGTAAAAGAGTAGGGAAATATTGAGAATAGGTAAAGTAATGTTGTGTACTTAAGTAATTTGTCCATTTACTTTTGTTTGCTTTCAACTGTAAAAAGCCCAATTATCATACAAAAAAGCTGAATATGGTGATATACAAATTGCAAAATAACCGAAATTGTAACAACCGAACTACTGAACTGAAAATATTTCAGGTAGGATTCGGATAACATTATCGAAAATCGAGAACGAACTAAAGTTTTAAACCAAATTGAACTGACAGAACACCCATCCCTAGTACTAACTCTTCTTCCACTTTGTTAATATTGGGTTTTATCGAGTATTTATAATTTGCTCTTCAAATGGATTGATCTTTAATTTTTACACTTTAAATAGATTGATTTTTAATTTTCATTCTTAAAAATAAAACTTATATTTAACGAGACATAAATTCTTTAAATTGGAGGATATATAAGCCCGACAACTAGATCGGATCAAACATAAGATAATGCTTCACCATAAAATATGTATAAAGTAAGGAAGAGACGTCCAGGATGATTAATGTTGAAAATAAAATAAAATTTAGGTAGTATCATGATGAATATTGCAAACACATAATTGGTCTAATTAGTCAATAATTAAATATTTGAGAGAGACTTTCATTAATCCCCATCAAGTAACTATTTTGGATGGTGACCTATGTAATACATGTTGTGTGGTACGTTAACATGATAATGCGCACTTAATGTGGTGTTCTTGACTTAATATACATACTTAAATTTATAACCACAGTTTACTTAATTATTTTCCGAAAACTACAATTGAAAAAATGCTTGTCACACTCTTGTATTAAATTATTTAAGTGTTTAATTAAAGCGCTACATGTAGCTTATCAATATTAGTCTATGTTTCTGCCTAAAATGTTTGCGGATAATAATGTTTCTAATCACATAACTGTACCAGAAAGCTGGTGAGGCATCATGGATAGTGAGTGATGGATCCCTATGGGGCCAATGAATTGAGAGAGATTATATCACTTTAATCCCAAGTGGTTATGATTAATGAGTTTGAAGTAATTTTACTTTATGGAAAAAAATATTTATCTTTTTCTTTTTTCAGTTGATTAAAATTTTGAATTTTTTTTTTCTTATAAGATAATATTTTTTGCTTATGTAAAAATTACACACAAAGAAAAAGAGTAAAAAACTTATTTATTTCCTTAAAAATATATTCATGTAATGCACCCTTTTATTATCTTATAAATAATTAAGGCGCATTATATACTAAAAATGACACTCCTCATCTATGCTTTTTTCGGAGTTGATCTCTTAACTACCTCTCCCTATCGCCATTAATTAGATTGAATTATCGCTCTTTTAATGTGTAAACAATATAATCAAGTATTATATTTGAAATTATGCGCAATTTGTGACATACATTTTTTGAAGTACACTAACCAAGTATTAATATATACCCCTTCCATTTCATTTTATGTGACATTGTTTGACTTGACATAATGTTTTAAAACAAAGTTTTTTAAAACTTGTGTTCTATAATAATCCTTAAATTTATATGTGGCGGTAAAACATTTCATTAAGGCTAAACAGGAGAATTTTAAAGTTAAATTGGTTTAAACTATAGCAAGTTGAAATTTGTTTTGAGACGTACTAGAAAAAAAAGAATGTCATATAAAATGGAATGGGGGAGTATAACTTAAACTCAACTATAAATAGTACTCTATCCGTCCCATTTTATATGACATAATTTGAATTGAGACGATATTTTTTTTAAAATAAACTTTTAAAACTTGTGATCTAAGTCAGTAAAAGTATATCTGAAAATCATTTTAATAAGGATAAAAATGAAAATTTTAAAGTTAAATTAGACCGTAGGAGTAATATTTGTTTCCAAGCAATTTTGTGGCCCAAAAAAAAAAAGATGTAGCTAACAATCAAAATGACATTGGTCATGAACTTTGAACTTTAGTAGTATACAATGAATATTCTCAATTCAACAAACAAAAATCAAAGGAGGATACAATTACAAATACAAAGTAGTTACTCAATTACACATTTCTATATTTGAGCAACATGAATTATTATGTCCATGCTACTTACAAATTGACAATTCAAATCAGTATATATGACAGTCCACAATAACAAAGACAATATAAGATAAATACCAAATCAAAGACCAGAAGTGAATGGCACATTGGTAGCTGGAATCCATGAATTTCCAGCAATGAAATTAGCAGGGGTGAATTTGGATGCCTCAGCTGAACTTGTAATAACTCGATAACCCCCCCAATTAACTCGATTTCCAGTCGATGAACCAGGTCCCGTGTTCAAATACTCTCCATAATACAACGTATTCAACGCGAAATTACCACTCCATGGTAACCATCCTTCAGAATTAATCAACCCATCAAGAAATGTTTTCATTACAACGGTGCGCGAATATTTTTGCCACGGCCTTCCTAAATATGTCCTAACTGATTTCGCACCAGCTCCAGTGATTCTACAATTATGAATCGAAATTCCAGTATTTTGATTCGGGTCAGTTCGGCCTTGGGCTGTCACAGTGTTGATTTTATTCGGAGGGTCTCTAGCGAAAATGTTACAATTTTGTAACACAACAGCTGCGTTACCAAATATAAAATCGACGGTACCATAAATATCACACTCTTTGTAAAATTGCCTATTGGAATGAACATACAGAGTGTCTTGATACCCTTCAAAGCTACATTGATAAAATACTGAAAGATCAGAGCCAGATCGAAGGGCTACTGCTTGGTGCTTTTGGGGGCCAGCAGTGTTTCTAATTGTTATGCCTTGAGCAATAAATCCATCACCGGAAGCACCTGACATTTTCAGAAATTAAAATAATACTTATTAGCATATGCAACTATACAAATTACATTAATTAGTAGTAGTACTAATTTTTAGTAGTTTTTTGTACGAACCAATAATAATATATAGTTGACTGTCAAATCATACTTTTTCTAAGGTTTAATACTTAGGACGGTAGAACTATTGAAGGTACATTTCTTAGGCACGCATTCTCTGTTTCAATTGCATGATAGTCAAATTAATTAATGTTTAAAATATTATAAGCTACAATAACTAACAATTTAAAATAATTCAAAAATGTTTTAAAAATTACTATCAAAGAAAAATATTTTTTGACCATATAAATAGTAACCATGACAAAGAAATCAAAACAGAGGAATACTGTGTGTTTAGAGAGAGAACCTTTAAAATTTTGTTTTACACTAAATAAGATAATCTATAGCTATATAAATTTTTAGGATTTGCATTGGACCACAAATATTTTTTAAAAAGTCATTTTTCCCCTTAATTTCTTTCTATCAGTTAAATGATGCTACATAATTGAAACATAGGGAGTACAAGTACTACCTACGTTGCTATGGTGCTTTGCCTTCCTAATTATTGAAGTCAATAACTATTCAATGATTTAAGTTACATATAATGGAATTAAAAAACGTTTTTGCCCGGACACAGAAAAAAGAAGGTATACTGCCTCATAAATATCCTTAGCGGCAATTAATTAATGGCAACAATTCAATTGCCAATAAATATGTATTTTTAGCAGGAATTAGCACTCTTTGTATATGTCCCTAAAGCCTTTAGCGACATTGACTCTAATGACACTTAACTAATGCCGGTAAAGACTTTAACACTCTTTATTAATGTGTCTATTTATTATCGCTAAAAGTTATTTTTGTTACCATGGTAAAACCCAAACTCATAATAATTCAATTTCCTTTTTCAGTTTTGCCTTTTAGCCCAAGTTATGTACGACATGATCATTTGTGTATGTGGTAAAAAAATATACGATGTATGTTTATCCTAAACTAAAAAACAAAGCACAGAGAATTTAGTATTGTCAATTATGCAATATTTTTTTGTTTTACCTTTTGTCTCAATTTATATGGTAGTGATACCTTTCAATTTTAAAATTCAAAAAAGTCTTTTATTTCTTAAAATATTTAGTATTGCCAATTATTATGACATGTTATTTTTCTTTCACGATCAAGATCAAACTGTTTGACTGTGCCAGAGTGTACTTACCAACTGTGGCTGATCTTAAGGTAGTGGATCCACCTCCAACACTTTTGCTTCCAGTAATAATTGTCTTTCCAATTCCATCTCCGATCAACATAACATTTTTCACCTTTTCTCCAATCTCCACATTTTCACTATAAATCCCAGCCTTCACATATATCACAAATCTCCCACTTCCTTTATTCTTGGCAGCAGCATCCACAGCTTCTTTCACTGTCTTAAAATCCCCTGAACCATCAGTAGCCACCACTACATTCGCCTGAGAAGCCGGCGACGACGATTGCAACAATTTTCTATCACCAGGAGATACCCAAGTTGGAAATCCATCAACTTGAGTATTACTACTTTCAGTAGAATAACCATGATTTAAAGCTAAAGCGTTACTAATTAAAGATGACACATTATTTGACATTAGTGGCATAACATAATCCGTAACGCCTAATTCTTCGAAACCTGTTTTACATGTTTCGAGATTTGTTAAGGCTGTACTTAACCATGTTTGAGCATCAGTAGCTGAGCATTTAGTGTTTGGATCAACTGTACTTTTGATTTTGTTGATTGTGTGTTCATAGAGTTCAACACAATCGGCCCATGCGTTTTTTTCGCGCTCGTTGCGACATTTTGGACCTAGTGAATATGTGGTCATTTGGGCACGTAACGCACGGTCTAAGACTAAGTCTAGTGACACTTTTAGAAAATCGGATTTTTTTATGATAGGAGATGTAATTTTGGGATTTTGTGATAAGAAGTATTCACAAGGTTGTGGGTGAGGTGTTTGAGTGCACCAAGCTTTTATGACTGCGTTGGAGTATCCATTTGTGGTGGATGGGAAAATGAAACAAGACATAAATAAAAGTGGGAAAATCAAATGAATATTAGCCATGGTAAGGAGTTTGTAATAAATTTGTAATATGGTTTTTTTGAGAGACAAGTGTGATTGTATTTGGTGCCTTTTGGCTTCTTTATATAGATATAGGAATATAAGAGGTACAAAGGAATGTCAAAAACTAAGTGATGGGGATGCACCATCCTCTTTTTTCTTTTTTCCTTAATTTTGGATTAAGGCATGAATGGTGAGAATAATACTTGTGGCAATTTCTTAGGTTTTGGAAGAAAATAATCTTAATCTTAAATATAAAATTTAAAAAAATATAAAATTCTGCTGGTAATTATGTATGTTTGTTGACTTTTTATTTTTTATTTTATTTAAAAAGACTGTTTGTTGACTTGACAAGGAAATTAAAGTGATGAAACAAGGTACCAACTTAAAAAAGTGAAAAACAGGAAGCTAGAGAGGGCGGCGTCCCCTTGTGTATTCCTATATGTACTACCACATGTTAGATTTTAACTAATTAACTAACTAACTAACATTAAATTATTACTTAATATATTGATAATCTCTTAAATTTGCTAGTAAATTTTATTTAGAGAGTCGAATCACATTATGTTATTTCAATTGAGATCTAAACATATGATTGAGTGTTTCTATTAGACACTTTCAATTCAAGTTCTGAAAAATATTTGCGTGTGTTCAAATGTACCATCTAAATAGTAGCTAAGTTAAGCTTATTCCAGTTAAGTTGGTAGCTAAACATGTTACTATCTTTAGTTTATACGCAGTATTTATTGTTTTAGATTTTATTTTTTTGTGGCAATTGAAATTAATTTTGTTGCATCGAAAATTGCTAAAGCTTTTAGTGGTATTATATAGAATGCTGATTAGAAATATTTATATTTATTATTTTTATCACTAAATATATATATAAAAATAAATATTGTTACCGTTAAATAATTATTGCAAAATTCATTTATGTGTTGTAGTGGATATACTATTGGTCTTTCTCTTTTTTTAAATTCTTTCTACCAATAATAGATAAGGTGCTCCATGAACTTGCCGCTCGTCCACATTTATGATGGGATATAAATATAATTGGATGATATCATTTTTATTTTTGTTTTTTTCCTTTTATAATATCGAAAGAACATAAACAAATCTTTGGTACTCCTAATACAAAAAATTTAGAAAAAAACTTTTTATTATTTTCTGTCTAATTAATTACGGACCAACACACGATTAGTTAGTGTAGCAAAGTTATTTCAAGCTGTCTTAGCTTCTGGTAACTAGCTTGAACAATTTAATAACAGATTGAATCAATACATTGCATTGCGAATATTTTAAGTAAGCTATTAGTATTACGTTTGGTAAAAAAATTACACAAATCCCACCTTTTAGTATCACTATAACTTATTAGAGCTCAAAGTACTTTTGATGTAATTTCTCAAGATTTGCTTAAATAAAGCATTTTATTTGTTTCAAGTCATGGTCCATATTTCTTATTGAAATTTAATGACCAACTCTTTAAATTAAACTTTTTCAACCGACTTTGAAATTTTAATTTCTAGCTAGCTAGCGCCCCCATATGGCATATTTTTCTATGGGAGCGTTGAGTGATGGTTGCACCTTCAAATTAGTGCATATCATTTTCAAATTATCGGCCTTAAATGATGTCCTAATCCAAAAAAATATATATGTTAAAAACAAAAATTAACTTATTTCTACCGACAATACAAATAATATTTTTTTTTTACAAAATTAGTGAAGTCCAATTAGTCATATATAGAAAGTCGTAGAGTTATTTTCTAGCCAAAGCCCAAATGTCCTTTAGCAAGTAAAGTAACATTGTATACTTGTACCAATTACTTTCTACACTTGACAATGTACTTGTAGTAAAAACATTCAAATTAAGAGACATTTTATTCACGTTTAATTTATTGAAGTAGATTTTTTTTATTATACGACAATTTAGGAAGTTCCATATAAGCTAAAGAATTCTTGGAAAATGCATGCACGTCTTTAAAAAGTGAAACCATGAACAACTATGTATGTACTTTTAGGGATACGGAAAACACAAAAATGGAATTCTCAACTGACTCACACGACAAACATATTTGTTCACTTCTGCCCTACAATTTATAGTAATTGACTGCCAGGCTCCAATATGAAGCGTGTCATTTTGGGTAACATATAATGCATGAACAATGTTTTAAAAAAAACATATTGTGATGGGGATAATAATGTTAGAATAGTTGTATTGATGAGAGTATAAGAGAGAATAAATGTCGGAGTGAATTGTATGAGGTTTAATCTCTCAATATTTTATACTCTTATAATCATATAGTGAATTATTCAACTCTTCTTGTGGATGCAGATCGATTGACTAAACCACGTTAAATAATTGTGTTACTTCTGGTATTTTTTTCATTTGTCTTCTTACTCATGGTCTTCCGAGGTTTGCTTTGTTAGCTTCTGCACGACACCTACTTATTTCGGTTCTAACAAGAAGTTACTCTATCAAAGCCAAATTATTGAATTCCCTCCTTTCGAAACTTTGATAAATAAATAATAATACGATATTGTGGATAATTCGAACTAAATATCATTAGTTACCATATTAACATTCCAAATATAATTATTGTTAGTTAGCATTTATACTCCAAAAATAAGTGAATTTTCGAATGTCATGAAGATCGAAGACTTGTTTAATTAATTTATTATGTCATGTATGCACGTAAAGATAACTTTTACTTTTTCGAGTATACATGGACAATAATATCGTTGTACGTAGTTTAAATTATTGACGTTAGCTAACTTGAAAATGACAATTAAATAAACGGGCTACAATAATTTTAACAGTTTGGAAGGTGGAGCTGTTTCAGTTGCTAGGAATTGAAATTATTGGGTGCTTCCATTATGAATGAAAGAAAATATGTCAAATCATCATAACTGAATTATTGAATGGATAGAGTTGTTTTATTTTCTTTATCATCACGTATAAGCACATCAATTTCATGCAACTAATCTTTTGATTGCGTGTGTGGTACGCCATTATTATTGCTATATCGTATTTTCATATAATAAGTATTATGGGCTTTCACATTATAAACAAATTAATTAGAAACATCTAAATCGTATTAATTACATGGAAATCATAAATTTAAAAGTGTTCATACATACATGATTATTGGTTGATGTTATGGTTATTTAAATTAGAGACGGATCCAGAATTTGAACTTTAAAAGCTTAGCATTTAAGGGCGTATTTTAGTTGTTATAATTTTAAAGTTATGAATTTGTACCTACTATTACTATACTTATATTGAACTTTTTTACTTATAAATTTATGTTCTGGTTCATCAAAAGTACTTGATTTGGATGAACCTGATACCACAAGGCTGGATTCGCAAGCTCCTTACTCCTGTGTCAAATACCAACTAGCTCAACTTTATTCTTTTAAAACACTCTTAGGGGTCGTTTTGGTAATAGGTAGGGGTGTGCACTATTCGGATTAAACCGAATAACCAATCCAAATCAAATCGAATTTTTATTTGGATTGGTTTTTTGGTTTTTCAGATTGGTTTTGGATTAATAAATTACTTTGTTTGGTTTTTTGGTTTGGTTTCGAATTTTAAAAAATAAAAACCGAAAAAAACTGAATTATATATATATATTGTTTAAGTTTAGAATTAAGTTGGAGCTAACCAATTTTGTCCCTTTTTGGTTATTGTCTTTCATGATGATTACGTTTATATTTTATGTTTGAATTACATCTATAGTAGGTATACTTATAAGTATTGTGTTTTAAGTTTTACTTATGATTTATATTAGAAAGAATATTTAAGGGATTAAATATTCTTACTTTGGTTATATATGTTATTAATTATTGACATAACCGAATAACCAAATCGAAAAAATTCGAACCGAATAGAGGAAAACCAATCCAAACCAAACCAAATTTATTTTGGATCGGATTGGGTTACACTTTTACAAAACCAAAAATCGAAAATCCAAACCGAATAGTGTAAAACCAAACCGAAAAACCGAATGCACACCCCTAGTAATCGGAGTGGGATAGATAAAGTTATTTTATATCTCATTCTATATATGTGATAACTTTTATATTCTATCATTATAGTACATAAATTATGGGATAAATAATCTTGCATTTTGTTATGAGATTGTTATTCCTTATCCCTCGTGCCAAATGACCCCTTAGGTTGCATTCTGAAAGGGGAAAAGTTCAATGAAATTTTTTCTAGGAAAACAAGTGGGTTTCTACTTATTTTCTTTGTATTACATAAGTAAAAAATATTATCCTAAAAATATTTGATAAAATCTAGACAAATACTATAGTTGTGGGGTGGGTGGGGTAGTGAGGATGAGGGTAGGAGGTGGGGGTGAAGATGAGGTGTTAGAGGATGGGAAAAACACAATCAATATGAAACAAAAATTTATGTTCCTGAAAAATTTATTTAAAAAACAATTGATTAACCAAATCGAAAAAATTGAAAAACATTGTCTGTAAAATGTTTTTCTTCTGTACGAATTCACTCTTAGTTAATTTTTGAATAGAGTGCACATTAAGAAATGAGTAAATTAGGAAAAAAATTTTAAAAAGAAATATTTATGATTTTTTTAAGAGAGAAATGATGGGGTGATTCTATATGGTGTTTTGTTGCCTTATTATCAAGAAATTAAAGAATACCGCTGTAAGACAAGAAGAATATTATTTACTGGCAACAAGGAAAGAGAAAAAAAATATTAACTAAGAAACAAGCTCATCAAGATTCCCTTATAAAAAAAAAAGTAGTAAAAGGGAATAAATTCCACACCCTGATCGTATAAATATTAGAATCATTAACAGATATTTCTTTGTAATATATATGCGATAAAATAATACAACACAACCAATCAGTTGCAAATGAAGAGAAATTAGTTGCTTATAATAATTTATTAATTAATTATTAGTGTAATTATTATTATGGTTGACAGTTGACTAGCTAATTCAGGGATTGATCTAATGGAATAGTATGAGATATGACTATATGTTATATATCCACTAATTAATTAGTTTTGGTAGGTGGGAGCTAA